AATTTTTACATCAAAATTAATTCACTGTAATAATTTATCAAAATCATTAATAATTAAATAGATGATTAAAAAACATTAAATAATGGTTAATTAATATAATCTCTTTTAAAAATATTTACTATAATTACATAAAATATTTATGAGAGATGAATTTAAATTATTAAGAAATATAATTTAATATTTCTCAATTTATTAATTATTTATTTACTTAAAACAATTTCATTAACTAATTTATATATTATTAATCAAAGAATTTATGAAATATAAATAAAACATGGTTATTTAAGAGAATGAATTAATATGAATAATTGTAATATATTTTAATAGATGATGATAAATATAAATTCATCAAACATCAACTAATGCAATTTATAGCAGTCTTTGTTTAAAGCTTGTGAATAAAGTTGATAATTTGAATTCCTCTTCAGAAATATTGATTATCAATAATTCATCTTTCAATTTTATTTTTGTAACTTAAATGAAAATTTAATTATATGATTAACAAAATTGTGACAATCATAAGACAATATTATATTTTTATCATAAAACCTTTCTAATAATTTTATTTAAAAAATTGGCTTTCTAGTTTTTTATTCTATTAACATTGAAAATATATTTCTATATTTATATATGGAAAACCTGAATTCATAATTTCAATATATTAACCAATCTGATTGTAATTTTATTAATAAAACTCAAATATCTTCATTTGAATTCTACTTGTTTAATTAGGATTTTCTATAAAAGTCTAAGTTATTACAATATCTAAAAATTCTAAATTAGTATCTTCCTTTAAATAAACATAATCAAACAGTTAATAGCATTGATGTTAATAATAAAAATGCTATGTTGCACAATTTAAACATATACCAAGATAACAATTTATACAAGAAATAGGACAACTAAAAGAACATTGATGACATCCATCTTCAAATATTAAATTACCGTCATCACACTCCTCATTAACAAGTACTAATTTATCTCCACAAATTGGTTGACATTTACCATCAATATTTTTAAAACCACTCTAACAAACTTAACAACCATATCCTTAAATACTACAACTCAAACATGACTAATCACATCTTGGATCATGATAATCATTAAAAAATTTTATACATGAATACTTAATGTATTAATAACCTTCATAGCAATCATAACAAACACCACGAAGACAATTAGAACAAGATATAGGACAAGTAAATGAATATTAATGACATCCATCTCCAAATATTAAATTTCCATCATCACATTCTTCATCCTGTGTTATTATTTTATCCCCACATTTTGAATAACATTAACCATCAATTAAATTGTAACCTTATCTACAAACCTTACATCCAAGTCCAAAATTATCACAAATAGTACATGAAGTTTAACATTTTGCTTAGCAATTTTAACAACCTTTATAAGGTAATGTTAATGAATCTTCGCATTGTTCACCAACTACTACCAATAAATCTCCACAAATTGGTATACATATACTTTAATTAGATAGATAATATCCAGTAGCACAAATTTAACATCTATTATTTATACAACTAATGCAAATAGTTGAAATTTAACATTAAAATTTACAATCCTTACTACATCCATCATAATTAATTTTATTCCCATCATCACATTCTTCCGAATAAAATCCATATGGATCTGTTACAACCAACATATCTCCGCAGATATTTTTACAATAATACTTTTCTGGAACAAACCCAGGTAATTCACAATTTAAACAAGTGTTTGTGTCATAATTACAAGATGAACATCCAATTCTACAGAAATATTTACAATTTTAACATCCATCCTTATCATCTTAATTTCCATCATCACATCATTCTTATCCTACTATTTATAAATCTCCACATTTCTCTTTACATTACCATGGTTGAACTGTTAGATCAATTTGCCATCCACTAGTTAAACATTCAAAACACTCTCCTTTAATACATTTTGTACATTAGGGTTAGCATTAATATTTGCAATCAAAACATCCATCATATTTAATATTGTTTCCATCTTCACATTCTTCTATCCAGTAACCATTCCATCTCCACAAATATCAGGACAAGGTAAAGTAGTTGATTCATTACAAGTTATACAATGAGCTGGACATTGAAATTAACAATTGTAACATAAATCATCCATTATGTTATTATTATCTTCACATTAATCATATCCAATTATTTGTAAATCTCCACAAATAGGTTCACATTTTCCAAATATTAAATCAAATCCAGAATCACAAGAAATACATGTATTTGTATGCCATAATTATTAATTATTAATACATAATAAATAACATGCCTTTAAGAATACATCTTCTGTAAGGGCAATCTATAATGATAATTATTTTTATTACTTGTACAAACACCATCTAATTCATAATAACCAGGTTTACATTCACATTTTACTCCTTTTAATATTCTATTTAAATTAATATCACAACTTAAACAACCATCAATTGTTGCTTTATAACAAATTTAACATAATTAATGACACTAGGAGCATGATTTAAAGAATTCTTAATAATAGAAACCGATTTGACATCTACATGTTGATCCCACATTCTCAATATTAACAATATTATTGCAAGTTAAGCAATCATCAAAAGTAGGTCCAGTACATGTGGAACAAAAATAATGACATTTTTCACATTTAGGATTCTATAAAATTGGATAGTATCCATCAATACAAATACATTAATGATTTTTTAAATATCTATTATTTGTAATTAAACAATTTATACAGTTACTTAAACTTAAACATTGATTACATTCAATTGGACAATCAAACATTGATTAGAATCTTCAAATTAATTGAATTTACAAATGCATCCTAATTTAGTTTATATAAAAGTAGATTAGCATGTTTAACAATCTATTTTAGATGTACATGTTAAACAAGAAATTGGACAATCTAAACATCTAACAGAATCCTTATCATAATATTGGTTACTTAAACATTCTTCTTAATTGAATTTAACTACATTTGCATCATAATCACTATTCCATTATGTACATGTACTCTAATCTGAGCATTATAAACAATATGGCTAGCACTTATGAATAGCAATATAATAATTATAAAATCCACAATAAGCTTTAATTGGTTCATTATTTGGCCCAAAACATTCCCAACTTATTGTTAATGTATTCGAGTCGTGATTTATCCTTTCATATACTTTATCATATTTTCCTCCTCAATTATTTGAACCCTAAAAACTATTACAAGATTTAGAGATTGGTGGATTATTTTCAATAGTATATATAAATAATCCATCAGATGGGAATGCTGGTCCATAAAGTATATAAAATGCAATTGTGATACTATGATGTGGATCAATTATATCATGAATCCTTTAAAATTTAGCCTATGCCCATATGTAAGGCCCTCCAAATATTCTTAGATTATTCAAATATGAATAATATATATCTGATCCTTTGATAAAATTTGTCCCATTTTAATAGATTAGTGTATACGAACCATAGTAATAAGGGTCGATAGTATTATTTAGAAAATCATAAGTTAAATAATCAGAGTCTAGATATATATAGAATAAAAATGATACATGGTGTTTCATCATCAAAATCTTAACAATAAGAACCATTTAATTTTTGATATGGTTAATCGCATTTGCTTATGCAAGTATTGTCCTTATATTTAAAATAACCACTTTGACAAATCTTACATTTGAATGATACCTCACACAATTAACAATATTAAGGACAATATCCTGATGTTACATAAACATATTATAATCCCCATCCTGCTGTGTCATCTCTAATTTATAATTTATTCATGTTACGTGTAATTTCCTTTTACTGAAAATAGAAATGGAAAATTAGGAATGTCAATATATGTAATTAATGATAATTGTTGAATTGAAGTATAAGTTAATGATGGAGAAATGCTAGAAGTAGAATAGATTATTAAATTATGTGTTTAAATACCAGATTCATCTCTATAAATAGAACCAACATAATAATCATTAATCATAATGGATAATCCACAATTAATTGGAATATCATTATAAGTTACAATTGATATTTTCAATCCAATTAAATAAGTTGCATAAAAATTGGAATAATAATATTTATAGATACCAGAATTAAACTTAAATACACCATATATACCAGAGTCTAGAATAGTTGGAGATATATCTAAATGTTCTGGGTCATATATAATAAACCATTAATTTTATATAGTTGATACCAAATCTTCTGAAAATTTGTAAACTAAGATATTTCAAAGGATAAGTATTGCAAAATCCTTTTTAATATAATGATTAGTAGATATCACAAATATTTCGGCATCCATATTTTTTCTCAAAATATTAATTTGATAGGCAGGGTGGACAAATATAGTTTGTTGGTTCTCCATAATAACAAATTCTACATTAACTGTAATTATCTCCTAAACATGATTTACATAAATAATAACATCCATATGGATCTGAAATATATATATTTCTAATTGAAACTTATCCATCATTTAAATTTGATGATGTAAACTTTAGATTTCCATGAGCTAAAAATGGAATTTAAAATGTAAAATTAAGAGTTTTGATATCAAAAGCAATATTATCACAAAATCCAGATGATATTTGATAATTCGGGGGAGAAATGTAGTTATATGAATATGAAAAAGATTCGAATGAAATAGTAACTGTTTCAGATGTCCATGTACCTTGAAAATATAAATCCACAGATACAAAACAAATTTTAGAAAGTAATAGAGTATCATTACCTTAAGCTGATGGATATACGCTATTTACAGTAATGTAGCTTGTAGAAGGTGTTGTACAAGTTATAAAATTAGCTGTTGTTTAAGTGGACGGTATTCAAAAGTTTCCGGAATACTAATGTGCAGTTGGTCCATTCTAATAAGTATATTTATCATTTTTATATAAGTAATGATATATCAATCGCTAATATGAATTCCCAACTTCAATTAAGCCAACAAGCCTAATAACAAGAGACATCTTCACTATTTAAAAATTAATTATATCAAGAATAAGTGAATTCAAAAATTGTAAATAAAAAAGAAATATTCATAATTTATATATGGTTGAGAATAGATTCAATTATTTTTAGATAAAGGATCGATTTAATTTGGTTTATTAAAATTTCAGATATTCATTTAAAATTTCATTGATCTTTTTTTGCAATAATATTAATGTTTCTTCAAACTATTAAAATTTCTAATTTTCTTAAATCATTTTATTAGAATAAATAAATAATATAAAAATTGAATTCTCTTATACTATAATTTATCTCAGTTTTCTACTTGATATGATATTTATTTAAAATATTTACTTTTGAGATGCATTTACCATCTAGATCTTTGAGTAACTGATGTTTAATACTATGAATATAATTCAAGTTGACCTTAATAAAAAATAAATATACAAATTTCAAATAACAACGATATAATAATATTTATTATATAATAAATTGTTTCTCTATCTCTTTTTATCAAAGAATGATACTTTAAGTAACATAATTCTATGTTCATTTCTTAGGACATTCTAATTTTCTTTAGGTAATAAACTAACTTTTTCTATTAATGAATAATTTATATTTCTGAATCAGTACTGATAGAAATAACATAATTTATATCCAAATCACAAAATATATTAAATAGAATTGAATTAAAATATTATAAAACCTTATTTTAAATTACCTGAACTTTATCAAAAAAATCTATATTTTATATTTAAATCCAGACTTTGAAATTCTAGTTGGTCTTTATAAAAAATATATATTTATATAAATAAGTTGTACTATTGTTATAGTACAAAAGAGTGTAATATTGAATATTAAATGAAACTTATTGATTTTATATCATATTAATACAATTAAAATCAATACGAATGATCTAAACTCAAATATATTCAAAAATGATCAACATAAATACTTCATCACAAAAAAGAATGTTGAATGTATTTCAAACTATTTTGCTTATTAAGAAATATCCACAAATTATTTAATAGAGATGATAAAAAATTTAGACTTAAGGATACAAGCACAATTTATTTCAACGTTTTTGATTATATTTCAATCGTCTTTTAAACATTTATTTTATTTATTTAAATACTGCTTTAAATATTTAACGTTAAGAATCAAATATCCTCTTAATTATTAATCTTTAATTTATTTAGCCATGGACAAATGTAATTTGTGATTATGAATTTTCACCCAGTTTATACTTAAACTCGGAAATAAATTAACTGTGTTCTGTATTAATAAATTATTACTAATATCTTAGATATGAACTTTGTTATCCTGTTGTTGATTTAATACTTGAGCTGCCCTGAGGAAAGGAGATGGAATCTTAATATTATTATAGTTAAAATCGATTACTTTATAAGGAGTTATACCATCAATTTCAAATACCTTTAGATTTGGATTATGGTCAAAATTTAATCCCTTAACAAGTAATCTTTTAGTTGGAAGCGCGGGATTGTTTGATAATCATCGAAATCATTTACATAGTGCAGTTGAAGAATCATCTTTAAATTTCAATCTAATATATTATGATTGCATAGATTATTCTTTTGAGAAAACCTCTAAAACAATAGATGTAAAACCATAAGAATACGAAAATATTTGGTAAGATTGTTAAATTTTACAATCATCTTTGTAAGAAAGATTTGAATTAATTTTTATACACCAATAGAAATCTATGAGAGAAAACTTGAAAATCAAACAACCTTCGAAGTATCAAAGTTTAAAGTTAATTTTTGTGGTGGCATGATAATATAATCTATAATTGGAAATGAGACTGTAAAACAATCAATTATTTAAACAATCTTATCCGATACTATTAAATAAAAAGTTAATTATTAAGATTTTAATTATTCTAAAGATTGCTAAACTTAAATTATATATGTACTATATTTTTTTTAATAAAAAATAATTGTGTAAATTCAGCATTTTATATTTTATTAAAACCAATAGTTAGTTTTAAAAGAAATTATAAATATTCTTATTTTCCAGGTAAAATGAGAGATATTTTTAGACAAGAATCAAGAAGAGTTGGCAAGCATGGCTTTTGAACCATAAAATTTTTGCACTTGTAACATGAATAACAAATTAAGATTGGAGGACAATTCTATGAAATATTTAGATTATTTAGTTTTTACTTTGGAGGACATTAATTGCAACTTTTTTGAATTATCTGAATGCTTAAGAACAATCGATATTATTAAGAGCCCAGGTGAATTTATTTATGCTTTCCTTGTCATTTCATCAAACTTCTAAAATTCATGATCGAAAAGAACCTTATCTCCATTCACTCTTTCGTATAAAAAGTATGCAATTGGCTGGAAGAGAGACCTGAAATAATAGAAAGACCTAATGTATCTGTATCAGAGTCTAAGGATTGGGATCAAATAACTCCTATTAATTTAGGCACTTCCTAAATTAATTCATCTATAAATAGGAATGATTCTTCCTTCTCTTCAGTTGGGAAGTAAAATGTCTCCTAAATTCTTGAAGAGAAATAATTTATAGTGAAATCTGTTCCACTTGAATAAGATTAATAAAAAATATCCAGCACATCATCTTCAAGATAATTAATTAGAGTTAAAGTTGGTGAATATTCTTCTTTTTTTGAAGGTAAGTTGTTAGAAGACATTGATATATTGAATGTTACTTAATATGAAGATGAAAATAAAAGTTATCTAATTTTTTCAACAGTTATGAAAGGTGATTTACTCTTCGAAAGAGAATGTGTTATGAAGTCGAAGCTCTCTTAATGGTTAAGGAGTCAAATGGGCTAGTTCTCCATGGCGTGTTAGACCTAGGCGCATGAGGGAATACCTTAATCTTAAGGAATTGAGGTGGAATAACATCATATCCAAGAGGAATAATAGCTTAAAGTTCTTCCTAAAATTAAAAAGAGTGTTAAGGTGAAAAAGGAATCCAGAAAATCTGGAAAGAGGAAAGAATGAATATTATCATAAATAAATAAATAAATAAGTATGCAATAAGAAATTAAATAATTATTATAACTTATAGCTTCACATTTCCATCAGAATCTAAAAAGTGTTTATATTTTTAATAGTATAAAACTTTGGTAAAAGTTAAAAATAAAACTAATTGCTGATTAATTTAGAATTAATATTCAATTTTATGAAAACTATGATGTTTAAAATATGGTATCTCTGAACAAGTAAAATAATTTAAGTGCACTTAATTTAAACTTTAATTTGGTAATATTTATTAATATAGAACAAATTATTCTTTGATTAACTTATAATTTCTATAGAACTAAGTGCTTTTTTCAAACATTTTGTATGCTTCGAATTATAAACTTTCTTTTTAATATTTTTAGTTAAACAAAACTAATTTAAAGAATGATAATTTATTTTTTTTCATTAACTTAAAATATGGAATCCTGGATATTATTATACCTTAAATGAGAAATATAAGTTTTATAGAACTATTAGATATATCAAGCAACTAAAATTAATTATTTTATATTGTAAACTGTTCAATATCTATTATTCAATTAGACTATAGTAGGTCTGATTTTATCTCTAATTTTGAGTATTGTAAATACACCAAAATTAAAAATAAAGAAAATTTAAATTGCTTAGTTATAAAGATTTACTCTTTTAATTTGATTGATATCAATTAAATGATAGATATTGAATTTAAAGTACTGAAGCATTAAGTAAGCATTTTAAATTGCTTAACTGATTAAGCAAGACTATAAAAGATATTTTATAGGAGTTCAGTTTTATGCTTGATAAATGTTTTGCAGTTTCAAGTTAATAAATAGAAGCATGGTAATATATTTTAGTGGAGACAGTAATTTAAATCAAAATAATTTTCTTTAAACATATATACTCTTTAATTATGATTATGATTATGCTAAAGTCTAACACATTCGACATTATTTATAAATTCGCTAGAAATGGAAAAGATAAATTATCATTTCAAAAATTTAAATCAATTTTAAGGATTTTTCCTTACATAACCATAGAACAAGAAATTAAAATAAAAACTACATATTTCAAGATTCTTAGTCTCTAAGTAATCTAGGGGTACTCTCTATTTATTTCTAAAAATCAAAAAAATTGTTTAACAAGCTAAGTAAATAGAATTAATATATAAAAAATTAAATGAATAACACAAAAACCTATTTAATTTCTTGCATTATAACGGAAAATAATGTGAAAAAGAATGAATTAATTGATAGAAATCCTAAAAAATGTTGTATTACTTTTTAATAATGACTAAAATCATTTTGATTTAGGCTCATTTCTTTCTCACTTAACCCATATATATGATTATAAATATAATGCTTGTCTAGAAGATTTTTTATAAGGAATACATAATTTGTTAATTATTTTCGCAAACCCATATAGTTTTCTATAATTTTTCAAACAGGACTCCATTTGTCAATGAAGCCACTATGATTTTGACTATATAAACTTCTAATTATTAAATATTTTGTTTGTTATAAAAATATTTATCAATCCTTCTATTTGAATTATTATGTGAAAGATGAGTTAATCTAGAAAGCGCCAAGGCCAACATGTTAAATGAGTTCCAATCTTTATTTTCTGCAATCATCCTTGAAGTCTCTCTATAATTTCGCTTCTCTATTCCAGCCATTCAAATGGATTAATTCCATTAAAGCTTAGTTTATCCAAAATTTCCAAATTTCTTTTATTACTTAGAAATCTAGTGTAATTTTTATTAGCATTCTATCTTATTCACCTAGATAAAGGCTAATTTTTTTGCAAATAGGTAATCAATTTTAATAACTTGCTAAAATCCTGAGTCTTCCATTACAATCCACATGCTTAAAAAAATTATTTATTACGATTTTGGGACACAACACTTTTAGGATTAAGCATAACATTAGATGATATATCTATATATCAATTTTCTTATCCAGAGCAATTCTCTCAAATACTTTTTCCTTATCTTTTTTTAGGAATAAGAATTTTCTAAATTTTTACCAACCTTTAAATTTCAAATCTTTAAGCCAAAAGACTATATTTGAGGCCGAACTCATGAACATATAAATAAGAATCCTAAAGTTAAGGTATTTCTAAGTATATGGCAAGGATGCTAACCTTTAAGAAATAACTTTAGGGCATTCAGAGCTATAATCCATTTTTAAGGAAAAGTTCCCTTTAGAAATGCTGTTTCAAAGAGTGCTCAAGGCAATAATTTTAGTTGTAGAGCTAACATTGAAATTTACTAATTTGGCTGTTTGAGACACTTACCAAGTCTTAAATAATTCTTCCTACTATTAGGTACATTTGATGGCATTTAAGAAATGTCTGGAAGTCACTAATTCAACTCCAAATACTGCAAGGTACTAAGCAATCAAGTCGGCATTTAAGTTTTTTCTGTAGTCATTCACACCCAATTTTATTTTTTTCTCTCTTAGGCATCATTAATTAAAACTTAAAATATTTTTCAACAGAAATTTTTACAAAACTATAATTTAGAAATTGGTATTATTTGTTCAACTTAAGAATATAAAAATTCATTAAAATATATCATCTAAGCTAAGATTTATAAATGTTTGCTTGGAGAATAACGTGTTGATAATGGATGTTAAATTTGTGAATCAAATCAAGATTTCTATTCTGGAACATATAATTCAATTAATTGTTTTATATTTGATAAAGAGTATTTCAGGAGATTACTTCAAATTAAGTAAAGCTAGTGGAAGGATATTGGAGACCAAATTATTTATCAGATGAATCTACTTTACTTTATGTTTAAAAATAACAAGGATTTGCTTAGAAAGATGGAATGTTGGAGATGCATTTTTAGTGTGATCTGTTCTTGTTCTACAAAATTAAGGAAGTTTTAATTAATTTCTTTTTAAATTAAATCAAGGTACTCTATTGTAATATTTTAGATCTTCAGGCTATTCTAATAAAATGCTCTTAAATTATTTATGGATATTTTCATTTATACTCTCATTGAATATTAGTTTTTCCTTTTAATTTAACTTTGTTAATTAAGTTAGAAATTAATCTTATTCAATGGCTAATAATTTGTATTGCTACTTTAAGGACAAGCAAAATAATAATAAAAATAAAATGATTTTTTCAAGCAAAAATATAATCAGTAAGAAATCAAATTTTTAGCTTGAATACTTCATTTTTTAATCTATCATTCCAACAAGTAATAATCGGTTATTCAAAAATTGCTTTAAGCTAATTTAAAATCTTTAGATCAAATTTTACAGAATGCATGATTTATAACAATTATTAAAGAAGTAAATTAGTTAATGTTGTTTGCATTCAAGAATATGATTTGATAATATGAAATGGATAATGAATATGAGAAATAAGTATTTTTATGGAATACTACATAGAAAAAGTTGCTAATAATTGAAATAAAATATATCATTAAAATTGATGAATTCTTTTTTTTAATATTTAATGAATGATATCAAATCAATTAACATGTTGTTGAACAACCTGTATCCACATTTTCAGCTTAATTTTAAGGTAGATAATAATATGATTTGACAGCATTCTCAAATATATCCCTTAGTTTTTTCTATTATACCTATAATATTTCTTATTAGTGTTTTTCTAAATAGCTTAAGATAATAAAAGTATCTTCTATTCCACAAATCCAGTATATATCTTTAAATAAACCTGAAATACTACTTTCTTTTATAAGCAGCTCGTCAACTGTTTAACTAAAAGTTGTTTATTTTCTTTATTTTACATTAGGCTTTTGCTAATTTCCCAAAGAAATTGCTGTCATTTGCACTTCAATTTCTAATTGTTATGGATCAACAGCAAAACATTTTAGTATTTAATTTAGAATTCTTACTCTTGTATCAAATTTACTCACATTCCTTTAATCAATTGCATGATCTAGGGCAGCATTTATAATTTAAAAGGCATTTTCAATTTAAGGTATTGATCCAATCATCGAAATATTTTGAACTATATTTAATACTTTTTCTGAGTTATACTCAATAACAGCATTTTGGTTTATTTAAAGTAAAGCTGTAGAGATTTATTACATAACTTTTAAAAAATTTTAAAGCCTCCAAAATAAAGATTGGTAATAAGTTATTTTATGAACATTTTCAGGTTTGTTAAATTCGCGTAATAATATTTATATATAATTTCTATCTTGATGAATCAACAAATTTAGATCTTCTTTTATATAGTTCAATTATGTTTCTTATTCACCTTTTGCCTTAGCATAATCTTGTTTTACTTGTAATAACTCTTATTTAAATTTTTTAACATGTTGTAATATTTAATTCAGTTACTTGTTTTAAACAAATTAAATTTTAGGCTTTATTGTTTGAGTGATAGGGATTGACAGAATAATGCTGATTTCATTTTTAATTTCTTAAAAATTTTTTTCATAATTTTGCACTATTTACATTTAAGTTGAGTTTACAGTAGGTAAATTCTAAATTATTCGTTTAGATTCCAATATTTATTCTATTAGTTCTTTGAGGATATCAATTTAAGTTTTTAAGTAATAAATATTTTTTTCACTTAAAAGTAGCTTCTTAATTTCAGATAAACTTAAACTTTGTAAGGAGTTTTTTGCTTTTTGCAAATATTCTAGAGCTTATTGATCATGGTCAGTTACAAGATGATAAAAATTACCTAAATTGATTAATATTAAAGGATGATTAGGGGAGAGAGATAATGCTTGTAAATAATCGGATAGAAGTTTTTCCTTCTAACCAATCTTACTATATAATACGCCTAATATAAAATGTTAAATAATACTTACCTCTATACATATATGCTGTTGGATCTTTTGGATCAATTTGGATTGCTTGATTATAATTATATAGGGCTTTCTCATTCTGACCAATAACTTGATATAAATAGCCTAATATTTATGTGTAACTATATTGACCTCTATTGCAATAGGCTTTTACATACTTTGGGTCAAGTTGAATTGCTTGATTATAATCAGATAATGCTTTTTCATTCTCACCAATAACTTGATTTAAATATCCTAAAATATTAATTTATATTATTCACCTCTATTAGTGAAAGCATTAGCATCTTTTTAATCAAGTTGAATTGCTTGATTAATGTCATTTTATGGTTTTTCTTTCTTCTCAATATTCTTTGATAAATTACCTAAAATATATTATGTTAAAGTACCCCTGATGAAGTAGTCTTTTTTGCATTTTGGATCGAGTAAGATTGCTTTATTGTAATCATTTAATGCTCTCTCATTTTAACCAATACTGTTATATAACTTTCCTAATATAACTATGTAATATTAATTACCTCTATTTAAAAAGGCTTTTGCATCTATTGGATTAAGTTTTATTGCTTAATTAAAATCATTTAATGCTTATTCTTTTTCACCAAAACTAAAAAATATTATTCCTAAGATATTATGTTGATTAATATTTACCTCTATTTGAATAGGGTTCTGGATTTTTTGGATCAAGTTGAATTGCCTGATTATAGTCATATATGGCCCTCTCAATCTCTAAAATACTGTTATAAATATTGCCTAATTTAAAAATTTTATTAATAATTACCTCTATTTAAATAGGCTTGAGAATATTTTGGATTAAGTTGGATAACTTGATGATAATCAAATAAGGCTCTCTCAATTAAACCTATAACTTAATATAAAAAGCCTATTATTTAAAAGTATTAGTATTCACCTCTATTAATATAGGCTAATTCATTTTTTGGATCTAATCGGATTGCTTGATTATAGTCATTTAATGCTTTGGATTTATCACCAATATTTTCATATAATTTGCCTAATATATTTAAATTAATTGTAGTTACCTCTATAAGAATAGGCTAATGCATAATTTGGATCATGTTAGATTGCTTGATTATAGTCATTTAATGCTTTGAATTTATCACCAATTTTTTCGTATAGGAGACCTAACATATAAAGTGTAATAGAAGTAACCTCTATTATAAAAGATTATTGCATCATTTGGATTTAGATAGATTGCTTGATTAAAGTCATTTAATGCTTTATCTTTGTCGCCAATATTGTAATATAAAGTGCCTAATATATTAAGTGTAATAGTAATCACCTCTACTGAAATAGGTTTTTGCATCATTTGGAACAAGTTTGATTGCTTGATTATAGTCACTTAATGCTTTATCTTTGTCGCCAATATTGTAATATAAAGTGCCTAAAATAATAAGTGAAATAGTATTCACCTCTGTTATTATAGGCTAATACATAATTTGGATCAAGTTTGATTGCTTGATTAAAGTCACTTAATGCTTTTTCGTTGTCGCCAATATCTTGATATACATAGCCTTATAAATTAAGTGTAATAGTATTCACCTCTACTATTATAGGTTGTTGCATCATTTGGATTTAGATAGATTGCTTGATTATAGTCATTTAATGCTTTATCTTGGTCACCAAGTTGTAAGTATAAATTTCCTTATAAATTAAGTGTAATAGTATTCACCTCTACTATTATAGGTTGTTGCATCATTTGGATTTAGATAGATTGCTTGATTATAGTCATTTAATGCTTTATCTTTGTCGCCAATATTGTAATATAAAGTGCCTAATATAATAAGTGAAATAGTATTCACCTCTGTTATTATAGGCTAATGCATAATTTGGATCAAGTTTGATTGCTTGATTAAAGTCACTTAATGCTTTTTCGTTGTCGCCAATATCTTGATATACATAGCCTTATAAATTAAGTGTAATAGTATTCACCTCTACTATTATAGGTTGTTGCATCATTTGGATTTAGATAGATTGCTTGATTATAGTCATTTAATGCTTTATCTTTGTCGCCAATATTGTAATATAAAGTGCCTAATATAATAAGTGAAATAGTATTCACCTCTGTTATTATAGGCTAATGCATAATTTGGATCAAGTTTGATTGCTTGATTAAAGTCACTTAATGCTTTTTCGTTGTCGCCAATATCTTGATATACATAGCCTTATAAATTAAGTGTAATAGTATTCACCTCTACTATTATAGGTTGTTGCATCATTTGGATTTAGATAGATTGCTTGATTATAGTCATTTAATGCTTTATCTTTGTCGCCAATATTGTAATATAAAGTGCCTAATATAATAAGTGAAATAGTATTCACCTCTGTTATTATAGGCTAATGCATAATTTGGATCAAGTTTGATTGCTTGATTAAAGTCACTTAATGCTTTTTCGTTGTCGCCAATATCTTGATATACATAGCCTTATAAATTAAGTGTAATAGTATTCACCTCTACTATTATAGGTTGTTGCATCATTTGGATTTAGATAGATTGCTTGATTAAAGTCATTTAATGCTTTATCTTGGTCACCAAGTTGTAAGTATAAATTTCCTTATAAATTAAGTGTAATAGTATTCACCTCTGTTATTATAGGCTGCTTGAAAATTTGGATCGAGTTGAATTCCATTATTATAGTCATTTAATGCTTTGGATTTATCACCGATATTTTCATATAATTTGCCTAATATATTAAAATTAATTGTAGTTACCTCTATAAGAATAGGCTAATGCATAATTTGGATCATGTTAGATTGCTTGATTATAGTCATTTAATGCTTTGAATTTATCACCAATTTTTTCGTATAAGAGACCTAACATATAAAGTGCAATAGCAGTAACCTCTATTAAAATAGATTTTTGCATCATTTGGATTTAGATGGATTACTTGATTAAAGTCATTTAATGCTTCATCATAGACTCCAATATTTTAATATAAAGTGCCTAATATATTAAGTGCAATGGTATTCACCTCTTTGAAAATAGGATGTTGCATCATTTGGATCAAGTTTGATTGCTTGATTAAGGTCATTTAATGCTTTTTCGTTGTCGCCAATATCTTGATATATATAGCCTTATAAATTAAGTGTAATAGTATTCACCTCTATTATTATAGGATGTTGCATCATTTGGATCAAGTTTGATTGCTTGATTAAAGTCATTTAATGCCTTATCTTTGTCGCCAATATCGTAATACAAAGTGCCTAATATCATAAGTAAAATAGTATTCACCTCTTAGAAAGTAGGCTGTTGTATCATTTGGATCAAGTTTGATTGCTTGATTAAAGTCATTTAATGCTTTATCTTGGTCACCAAGTTGTAAGTATAAATTTCCTTATAAATTAAGTGTAATAGTATTCACCTCTGTTATTATAGGCTGCTGGAAAATTTGGATCAAGTTGAATTCCATTATTATAGTCATTTAATGCTTTATCCTTGTCACCCATTTTTTCATATATTTTGCCTATTATATTAATTGTAATTGTATTTACCTCTATAACAATATGCAAAAATATATTTAGGATTATTATAGATAGCTTAATTGAAATCTCTAAGTGCTAAATCAAACATTTTTTTCCTCCCATAATATAAACCTTAAAAAATAGCTTTTCTATAACCTCTACACATAAATAAATAATAACTATTTTCATTTTTTTCTTAAGCTTAATTTTAATACCAGAGATCATCATCCTTTTATTTCAAATCTCTCATAATTGTGTCTAAACATTTATATTTATCTCATTACTGATCCTATGTTAACCCATCTCAAAGTTTGGATTAATCTCAAGACACTTCATACAATCTTATAATGCTAGATGAAAAATTTATATTCTCCAATAAATAGTTGCTTTAAATTATCATATCTAATTAATACCCCGTTAATAATAACTTTTAGCATTATTATTATTGATAGATATGCTATAATTTACATCTTCCAATGCCTTATCATATAATTTCAACTTCTCATATAATTCACCTAAACTGATATTTAACACTTTGAACTTCTTAAAGTATATGCTTCGGCAAATTGAGGACAAAGATTTAAGGCATTATTAATTTCTAATAATGCTTCTTCAGTTCTATAAGTAATCTTAAACTCCTAAGAATGATTTCATTTAACAATTGTACTTAGCTTCTTGAATAATGTGCTAATGCACCAGCATTCTCTTTTTCATTTAAACTGTTGTTGCTCATTTTGAGATGTATCCAAAATTTTTTAAATAAAATAATTAATAAAATTTAGGGAATCGACCAGGTTAAATATCAAGGTTGTGAAGAAAAAAATTATATTATTTACTTTATAAAAATCTCTTTAGACCTTTTATTTGTAAAAGAATATATTTTGGATTTTTAGTCAAATACCAAGCATTTGATGATTTTTGCATTTAATTTAATCTTTATTACTAGAGGCTATATAAAATAAATGAATCACTAAGATCGCATTAATTAATGAGTATGTCCTTATTTCCATATTCAAGTGGCATAATTCAGTTTTTTTTCTTAATTTGAGTATTTTTCTTTAAGGCAGAATTCTAATATTTCTGATTTTTATATTATCAAAATAGATAGACAATCAAATATCTGTCGCTGAGACTTTATGCAAATTAAGCCTATTTAATATAGGACATTAATTCTTTTAAGATGATTAGCTAACTATAAAATCAATCAAAAGAGCTCAAATTAAATATAATTAAGATATTAATAAATTAGAAATTATTTTTTTTGTATTTTGCTTGTTAACGAAGACTATATAGTTTATTTTAGTTAATAAAAAATGGGGTTGGGGTTGGCTTACCTGGAAAAATAGAAACTAGTAGTACTCTATTGTGGTTGGGGTAGGGGATTCCTATGTTA